CCCTGTCCGCAACGCGAGCCTCACGGCAGCGGGCATGGACGAGGCTCAGCGCCAGGCCACCGACCGCGCTGCTCGAGCTGTTTCACCTGATGCTGCTCATCACGGTACTGACGGGGCGGGCGCGCCGCCGCAGGACGGACCAGCGGTGTCGCGCGCGCAGTATATGCGCGCGCGTTGCGCCGCTGCCGCGCCGAGCTGCCGCCGCTGGTTTGCGTTTGCTCTTGTGTTCGGCAGGACGGATCGAGGAGTCGCCTCCCTCTCCCTCTGCTGCCGTCTCACCTCTCCTCCCCTCGTCCCCCACGGTACAGGAGTGAGGAGGATTTTTCGATGCAGTTTTGCCGATGTTTATGAACCCCCCCTGGCGCAGTGTCGACCATACCTCGCCTATACTCCTGGCCTGACGGCGGCTTCAGCCCCGTTCAAGCCAATCTGCAGGGACGCCATGAGCTCCTACTGTGGCCAAGCCTCCTACCTGGGTAAGGGCCAGGCTGCCCTCCACCGTGCGGGACGAGCCAACCCCAGCTCCACCGATGGAGACGGGCCAGGTCGCTCCATCCACCTTGTCAGCCTCAACATCACGAGTCTCCCAGCAAATTGGCCAACTATCACCGCTCTAGGTGTCGACCACAACGCCGCAGTCATAGCACTGCAGGAGACCCGACATGCCAAGCCTACCAGACAAGCCATCGCTACCAACGCCGCCAATCCACACCACGGGGGATATCATGCCAGTCTGGGACCTGACCTTGATCTGGCGCGAGCCCAGCGCAAAGCTGCCCACGGCGGCACAGACCACCCGGTCGAGGGCAACACTGGCGCCTCGGGAGGGGTCGCCATCCTCTCTAAGGACGCCATCGTCGACTCCACCGTCGACGACACTGCGTCCTGTACCGCCACACTCAAGGCCAAGAAAAGATGGCACGAGGCCTTCCTCCCGCTCTGCACCCAGCACCGCCGCAGGCGGCGAAGAAACAACCACGGGCCCGCTGGGATCTACATAGCGAGCCTCTATGGGGTCGCTGGAGGAGACAGCACCGACTTGTTTCGGCTAGCTGACTGCGCCGCCGCGAGGGTCGGCACAGCCCCGTATTTCATTTGCATGGACGCCAACACGAACATCGACGACAATCCACACCTGCTGCACATGATGCAACACGGATGGTTTAACGTCGCTGACGGCACACCTGACCACACCATGCACACATATGGCAATATCCCTGACTGGGACCGTGTCACCAAGTGTCCCCGCACTTCGCGCATCGATTACATCATCGCCAACCAAGCGGCTCGATCCCTTGTCACCGACTTCTGCTATCTGCGTGACTTGCCAGCGAAGTCCCATGTTGGCCAGCAGGTCACGCTCGACCTTAGCCGCCTCGACCATACGGCCCGACGCCTTCTAGCCCCCACGCCTTACCCTCCTAACGATGGAGCTCATGAGGGCCACGAACTTCAGGCATTAGGGACCCTCATCGCAGGGCGATACCAGGACCGCATGGAGAAGGCCGACACACGCGACGATGTGGAACGCATGTTCGCCCTGGCAAACGAGGCCAGCCATGAGTACCATCTCACTCGGCTGCGCGACCTGCCACCTCCACCGCCAGACCACCCAAAAAAGAAGCCCCCTACCATGCACGGGCTCACACCCACGTTCGAGGAGCGACCCGCTGTCCCCCGCGCCTTTCCCACATACGGAGCTTCCACGATTCACATGAACCGCCTTCGCAAGCTCCATCGGCAACTTTGTGAGCTTCGCTTCATCGGACAGCACCACCATATCGACTGCCGTGCCATCCCGCCGTACCTGGCGCAGCGCATCGACTGCACGTGGACCGCGGCCCGCCTTCTCTGTCACAAGCTGCGCCCCGCGGTCCTCCTGGCCTTTCCCGAGGCCTGGAACCCCGACGAGCCAGCACCACACGGAGAGCACCTGGACCGTCTGATCCAAAACCTTGACTCAGAGCTGGCGCGACGTGCAAACCGAGCCAAAGCTGAACGCATCAAGATTTGGGCTGAGGGTGTCCGCGAGCCAAGCGGGCGAAAGGCGGCCATACACGCACGGGCTGCTGACTGCTCGCCCACGGCGTACCTCCGCACGCCCACCACTCCCGACGATACGCAACTCCACTGCGACACCACCGCCTTCAACCCTGACCAAGCTTGCACGGACGATAGTGATGCCGACACCGACGCTGGCGGCTTCAGCCCCAGCGACGGTAGCTCGCTCGACACGGACAACGACGAAGGCCACACTTGTGACCCACCACCTGCCCAGGTTCCCGACGCCCTTCCCGCCAACGCCATTGTTGCCAATACCAAAGACATGCTTAAGCTCATGGTCGACACCTGGGAGCCCATCTTGGGCAGATACCGCGCTCGTGCAGGTCATGATGCCGAAGCCATGCCGACGTGGGCAGACTTCTACGACGAGTGCCGACAAGAGCTGCCTACGCCATCACCAGCAGCCCCTTTCCACCTCACCGACGACCAACTCATCCACTTCATTCGCACCCGTTCACCGCGCCGCGCGGGGGGACTCGACGGCTGTACAACTAAGGAGGCTAAGGAGTTACCCGACGACATCCTTCGCCTCTTCGCCAGCGTCTTACGTGCTATGCAACGCACTGGCACCATCCCAGAGCCCCTCCTACACGTGCCAAACCCGTGCCTCCGAAAAGGCCGAGGGGAACTCCCGACGGACCTACGACTTCTCTCGGTTCTTTCCGTTTGGATGTACGCGTGGGAAGCGCCAGCCTACCGTAGCCTCACGGACTGGCGGAAAGGATGGACCCACGCCACGAGTTTCGGCGCTGTTCCCAAAGCTACCATTGGGGATGTCAGCACCTCTCTCGCCCTGCGCATCGAGCACGCCAGGGTTTTGCTCCTCCCCTTAGCTGGAGCTGCCCTAGACCGACAGAAGTGCTTCGATTACCTCATCACGGACATCTGCCTTAACCTTGCACTCCACGCGGGGTGCCCTCAAGACATCGTTACTGTCCGCCGAAACTTCTACAATCACCACAAACGCTACATCCGCATGAACGGAGCGTACTCTAAGGACTTGGCCAGGACCAACGGTCACCTCCAGGGAAGTTCGTGGTCCCTGGACGACATCAAGCTGCTCATGTGCGTGTGGACAAAGAGGCAGCATCGATACGTTCCTCGATCACTCAGCACTACCTTTGTTGACGACAGCAACTCCACTACCCACACTGCGTCTGAGCTGCAGAAATCTCTTGACGAAACCGCCAAGTTTGATCGATTCTCAGGTCAACGCATTCACCCTGGTAAAGTGGCAGGGTGGGCGCTCACCGACGAACTTCACGCCGCCGTCACCCAGCTCACTCTGGCGGAGCGCCCCCTACGTGTGGTCGAGTCCTTCAAGCTCGTCGGGAGTTACATCAACGCCGAGGCAGCGCCGGCTCCAGCCGCGCTTAACCTCACGGCCACCGCAGATGCCCGTGTTCGGAGGGCGACTATTCGCCTGCCGCGCATTGGCAAGCTCCCATCGCCGATGCTTATCAAGGCGCGGCACGCCCGTTCCCTTGCTGCCAGTGTCTGCACCACGGGCACCGACATTCAAGCACCATCGGGCCCAGGCAAAACTGCCTACAACCACGCCCTCAAGGCGGCTATCCGCCCCAAGGGGAACAAGTGGGTCGAGTTCTGGACTCTCATGGCCATGTGCGTCCCAGGACACGCCCTGGAGATCGACGCCATCACGCAGCGCGAAGCATTCCTGTGCCTGCGGCGACAGGTTAAACGCGACGTTACACTCTGCGGGCTCGCCAGAGACCTCCAACACCACGTCCAGACCCTGTTTGGTGGAGGGCCTGTCGGACGACTCGTCCAGTCGCTTCAGCAGCTCCGATGGACCTGGCCCACACTTGGCATCATGTACGACGACTGGGGCTGCCAGATCAGCTGGCTGAATTTACCCCAGAACGCCTTCCTTCACATGCTGCGGGCCTCACAACGCAGAGCCTTTCTGCGGAGGATCAAGCCACGGCGACACGACCTTGGATACCTTGCCTCTGTCAAACAGGGCCTCGACCTCTTCGCCAGCACGTGGCTCGCCCGAACTAAAGGAGCAGCCAAATGCACTGCCTGGCAGCTGGCGCTCCTCCTGAACTACCTGTCGGGCGGGGAACACACCCAACAGCGACGATCCCGATCAAACACGTCAGCTGACCCCAGCCCCATCTGCCGATACTGCGACGAGGAAGAGGAAACTCAGGAGCACACTGTCCGCGACTGCAAGTGCTGGGCCCGAGAAAGACTCCCTCTCACCACCCTCATCAGTGACGACCAGTGGGCCCGTCTCCCGCCGCACACAAGACACTGCGGGCTCTTCGACGAAGACCCAGCCCTCCTCGACCTACAGGCCGACCTCGCGAGGGACCCGCTGCCACAGCCCATGCCGCGGCCCCCCCCCTGAGGGAGATCCTGCGGCTTCAGCCCAGGACACCTACACCACCTACCTGGACCACGACACTGGTTGGACATGGGTCTACGCTGCCACAGACGGTGCATGCACCAACCAAGCCATCCCTTTGCTAGCACGAGCGGGTTACGGCGTTTACTACGGCATCGACCATCGCATGAACTACAGTGCACGCGTCCACGGCCTAACGCAGAACGCCCAGGTTGCCGAGACCCTCGCCATCGTCCACCTTACGGCATGTGCCGAACGGCCCGTGCACGTTTTCGTTGACAACCAGGCGGTGGTCGATGGGTTCCAAAGCATCATCGACGGACATCCAGCGCCGCAGGGCACGCACGTGGACCTCTGGGAAAAGATCCACCGATGTGTTATGGCCAAGCCAAACATGTT